TTTTTTTTTTTTTTTTTTTTTGGTAGGGTAACTGATATGCAATATTCCTTAAGAAGGCATTATATTTGTCAAACTATACATAGACCATGAGAAGTAGTACAAATTATCCTGTGTAAAGATCTGGACTCTTTCTGGTAACTAATGAATTGGGAGGCACTGTGCAGTTTAGACATGTTTTTTTGAAACTGACCATGTTGGTAAATAGTTGGCAGTTGCAATCTCAGAGATACATTAGTGCTGGAAGAGTTGGACTTGCTTCCATCCCACCTACTCTTTGCTGTTCAGCCCTATTGGGTGATTGCAGGCTGAGTCAGGCCTCTTTCCTGCCCATGTAGGATTTCTACTCTTCATGGGTGTGAGCTGCTTTTTCACAACTGTGTGGGATTCGTGCCATCTGATTTCTTTCATTGTGATTCAGAGACTGAACAAAGCAGCTGCATCAAAATGACACAGTAGTAGACAAGTGTGCTGTGGGGCAGTTTGGGGCCAGCTTTGGTGTTCAGTACACTATTCAGCCAGAAGCAACTGAGAAAGCTTACTGGTGAAAAGGGTGGCATGGTGAAAAATATGTTTCTCTGGCATTTAACTTCTACCAGTATTGCTAAAATGGACCTGACAGCATCTTTCCAAACTTTAATTCAGTTAATCTGTGGGATGGTTTGCCAGATTAATCAGAATGATTGCCTAAAACTGTGTGTTTGGGTTATACTTATTAAACTTGACTATGTGGCACATCAGACACAGAGTTGGTGCTTACCTTTATTTCCATCTGCAGAGGATTCAGTGTGTATGCTCCTCTCCTGTCACCATGCCTTCTGCTTTTGTTTAAAAAAAAACCACAGGAATCCCTAACTTCCTTCAGCTGTGACATGCCTTTTGACCAACTGAGGAGCCAAATGCTTTGCTCCASAGGTGTGCCATTGAGTATGACAGTGCTGGTCACAACTGGTGAATAATGGGAATGTAGGTAGCAAGTTTTTGAAAAGCAGGATAAGTGCAGTAGTTCTGTACTTGCCATCTTCCAAGCTGTTGGTGTTTTCTGGCACATGTTGTTGCAGCTGTCAGAGTAGGGTGGCTGTTCTCTGTGGTAGAGGAAGGTGTTGCTAACTCWCGCTGTTCTTCCTCAGTTGTGACACTTAGCAGTTTTTCTTCCCTGCCTTCCCTCCACCCCCAGCCCACTCAAGTGGAGGAAACAGTAAGCTTTGTATATCTTGTAACTTCCAAATGCTAACAAATCTGGGTTTGAGGAAGAAGCTTTAACAGAAATATGAATCACCATCTGATGTGATACAGTGTTCAAACTATCTAAGTATACTTTTTATCTGTATTTAAATACAACTCTTTTACAGAAAATGTGCCCAAATRGTAGCCAATTATTATATTCTGCAACACCTCTGTCTGTTGTGTATCTTCTTTCAAGTACACCAATTCAGTTATTATTAACAATAATAGAAAACCTACTTAGGATTACAATGCTGAAGTAATTGGTTGTCTACTCTTACTTGAGAAACACCTATGTTGTGAAGAGGCCTGGCTCTGTCAGGCTTTTGCAGTGATTAGATCTATTTCACAGGAATTTTTTTTTTCCTATGCAGGTTGGAACAACATGGTGAGGATAGCTTTACTGTAATCC